CCTCTCCCTGTGTCCCACTGCCATGGCAGCACTCCGCTGCGCCGTCTCCTGTCCAAATGCTTTTGGAGCACTCTGATTGGTTGTTTCAGTCAGCCAATCAGAGTGTGAATAAAACATTAAAGACAGACACACAGACAGACAGACAGACACACAAAGGCTTTTATAACATTAGAATGGTGGTGATGGTGATGAATGTCCTCTGACCACACTGAAGCAAATGAAGCAAGAACTTCAGCCTTACTACAAGACAATCATTTGATTCTAGCAGCAAAAAAATACAAATTGACCACTCCTTGACTTCCAAATTGTGATGACTGATAAAGCTGTACAAACAGTTGTAACTCTGCATATAAATAATGAGGAAGCCACTAGTCTGCAGTTCAGAGAACAGTTTTCAGACACACAAAACTTGTACTATGCTGCTCTCAAGATCAAAGCAGATTTGAAAGTTATAGCCAGCATGAAGGGATACAGTAACTTAAATGAAGAGTAAACCCAAAAGCATATTCTTGATAGCCTTTCCACATTGATCTGTTTGATTTTAGAAGACAACAATGATGACTTAGATGTTGAAAGTTGTGTATAAGAATCTAGACAGAGATGTACTGAATATATTTCAGGATTTGGTTTACCTGCAATCAAGGGGCAAAAAGCTAACACCAAAATATATTGGGTTAGGCTGGCTGATGCATCACACAACTAGATTTAAGAAACTGGTATAAAGTCTCCATGCTGCTGAATGCAGCATACCCTATGACACAGTTGCATCAAGACCAGCATTACTGAGAAAAACGTAAAGAAATTTTGGGAAAATGAAGAAGTTATCCTAAGGAATTTCATTCCCAGTCATTTTGTTCAGTTTTCATCAGACAACATTGACATCTTAGAAGAGACACTGGATGGAAAACTAGTATTTCATGCAATGCAAACTGTAGCATTTCAAAGAGAACCATCAAAACTAGTTGAGCCTGCACTGATGTAAGGAAGGAAAAGAACCTTGAAAAATGTACCACCTGAATTTAACAAAATCATTCCAGCAATGATGACCTATAACAAGACATTGAAGTCACCTGTCCATAGTACAGGTAGTAACATAAATGAAAAGCTCAACAATACAGCTTTTCAAAAGATATCAGCAGAGCTACCACAGATACTGAATAGAAGATCAGCAGACAACAAGGAAAATGTTGCTGTTCTAGGGTGGACAGCATTTAACCAGTTTCTTTCTGATGATACTTCACCACTATAAATTGTTGGATTTTGTCGCATACTGACTGCACCAGCATCTGAAGACAACACCATTTGGGCTGTCATCTCATCATGTGATGTAAAACAATTGCAGAACACCTGGGACAGCAGCATACAGTCATAATGTTTGATCAGGCATTGTATTGCAAAGCAAATGAACTTGTGGGCTCATCCAGAAGAGACTGAAAGAGCAATCATTTGACTGGAAGGCTTCTATATCATCATGGTTTACCCAGTTACAATTGTAATTACTTAATTACAATTAGAGATCAGTGCTTGGGCCCGTGCTTTTTAATATCTTTATTAATGACTTGGACGAGGGAGTGAAAAGTGGAATTAAGTTTGTGGACGATACCAAACTGTGGGGACAAGCGGACACATCAGAGGACAGGTCAAGGATTCAGGATGACCTTGACAGGCTGGTCTTACGCGCGAAACAAAACCAAATGAGGTTCAACAGGGACAAATGCTGGGTCCTTCATCTGGGTAGGAAGAACCCTCACCATACCTATATGATGGGTAAGCCCTATGACAAGAGATTTCAGGATCTGGAACTGTTCAGCCTGAGCAAAAGAAGGCTAAGAGGCAACTTGATAGCCACCTACAGATATGTCAAGAGAGAACACCAGGACCTTGGTGAACAACTTTTTAGAAAAGGCCCCCTCTGCAAAGACATGGACCAAAGGACATAAGCTAGTCGAGGAAGTTTTGACTGGACACAAGGAAAAACTTATTTTCTGTATGGGTGGCTAGAATCTGGAACACAATTCTAGGAGAGGTGGTGCAGTTGCCATCTCTGGCTGTCTTTAAGAGGCACTGGACCTCCTCTTAAAGAGGAGGTATTCAATGTATTTAAGGTACTCAATATCAAATACCTTGCTGAGCTCATTTGAGCCCAATTACCTCCTGCCCATGGTGGGAGACTGGACCTGACAATCTTATCCTTCCTTCCTGTAGGATCAATCTGGTCCTTCTTTCTATGATTCTATGGTCAGCATTTCACCGCTTCAGGACTTGAAGACTGTTGCACTAAAAGCAGATAGTTTTCAGAAAACACTGCCACCAATATAATGAAAAGAAAACTGTATAACTATGCTATCAGAGCACACAAGATAACACCTGAAGCAATATGGTATATTTTGATAAACACATTCATTGTGTGGTTGTCCAGTTCAAGCAAAGGATTAGATTATGATGTTGTGGACCAACTTTCCAGTAGCACAGCTGTTGCATTCAGAAACAATGACTGCAAAGTGGGAAGGAATTCAGTGAAAGAACTATTAGTGCATCTGCCAACAACTGCCACTCCAAAAATTTGTGGAAGAACACGCTCATCAAGGTTCATTCAAGTACTGAATGAACTATTTGGAAGTAGTCAATACTCTCCTGTGCTTCATCAGGGCTGTATGTGAAGGGAACTGGCATAAGCATTTACGTGTCTTTGAAGAAATGCTTCTGCTAGTAGCTGTGCATGATCATACCAATTACACAAGATGGGGTCCAGTATATCTTGAATGAAGGATTTAACGAATTTTGCTCCTACAGTATTATGCTGAGTTTGTGGAAAGAGGATTTGGGGTCAAGACAACTAATCTCCCATTTATAAGCATTTCAACTGACCAGGCAATAGAACACATTAACAAGGTTTGCAAAATTGCCAGTAGCATAGTAAACATAACACGCAATGAATCAGCTAGAAAACAATGGGAACTGAACTACAATGGAAGAGGTTACCTAATCAAGATGGTAAATCAAATGTTTGGGATCAATACAACAACATCTTTTAATGAAAATGAAAGACAAAAGACATAACTAAAATGAGATTACAATGATGCCAAGTTGCTACAAGAGCAGTTTGAAAGGTTCTGCTTGTTTAAGTTTTCCAATGATGAGCTGTTATGTATTTCTATGGGAGATGCTGTGCCAGAAGATACTGCATAAGACAATGCCCATAGCAAAGGAAGAGAAGTCATGAACACCATTATCCAGAAACAACATAATGCAGATGCTACAAGAGCTTCTGTGTAAACGTACCCAAATAAAAACTGAAAGCCTTCAAGGATATAACGTCAGTCATGGGACAGTGCAGCAAAATGAAACAAACACAGAATACAATGGAAATTCAGCAAAAGCTACTAGCAGCACTCTCAATGTACACTCTCTCCTACAGCACAAACTGTCTGGATAGCCTCCATCACTTCTTAAACCTCACAAATCACTCAACATGGCCAACAAAACAGCCTCATCACGAATCTTGATTGGAGATAAAGCACTAACTGTTCTGCCAAGTGCTATTTCCAAGAAATCAGCTATTATTATCGACAACATGGCTCTTGTACACAGAATAGGAAAGCCGAAAACTGTATGAACATTTGGAGATTTGGCTGATTTCTTTGTGCAATAAGTAGAGGTGCACCAATACATTGGTCCAATAGTGGATCGGTACTGATATAAAAAAAACTGGCTGTATCAGATATCGGCCGATAGGGCAGATAATTTGGCCCCGGCTGCAGCCTGCCCCAACACACAAGAAGGTTTGGTTCCTCTAACAAAAGCCTGGAATAATAATGAAGGTACTGTGTTTCAAAATGTTTCTTGTGCACATATTGGTAAGATCATTGTAAAGCAATCAGCTTAAGTTTTGTCCCTTCATCCTTGTTTTTCAATGAACCTTTGAAGGAAGAAAAGCATAAAACCAGGGATTCCATCCACTATAAAAGATCCTGGCACTTGAAATCTCGGATCACAGCTCTTCAGGTAGGTTTTGAATCTGCTAAGAAGTAAGTCCTCCTAGGGATCCCCATTTAGGGAAGATTTCCTGAAAAAAAAAAAAAAAGATTCTTTTTCCTAAGACAACAGGCTGGTTCAGTTTCTTGGATAGAGAACAGATCCAGGTATACTGGAGATAAGCTAGGACCATCCTAAAAGGAATTCCTCCTCAGCTAAACTGCTTTTTCAACTACCCCTTTTTTTGAGATGGGATTTGCCTACATCATAATCTATAACTTCATGGATACAGAAGTGGCTGTAAAATTTGGCAGCCTTTTCTCATATAGACATATATACTAAGAATTCCAGTAACAGCAATTTAAATGCCAACAATTACATAGCTTAACATTTTAGCAAAAACATCCAGTTTATGATAATTTTTTGATATAGTGGGCATAGTGTTCCAACTGGTTGATGCCAAAGACTCCAGAGGCAGAAATTCTTTCAAACTGTTTCATATTTTCTGCTTCCCAAATCATTTTTATCTTACAAAAAGACACCAGGTATACAGGAACAGGGCAACTGGGGTAACAAAACAGACACACACAACGTATACTCTGACATGAAATAAAATTGAACAAATATAGTTCATTGCAGAAGATGTTATAAACCTAGCAGGTTAACTAATCCAACTAATTAAGCAAGGGAAGCAGAGCAGCAACTTTGACAGGGCAAGGCGGGACAGGAATCGGAACCCAATGATTAACTTGCTTTAACCAGAATCAGAACCATATACTTGCTCTATTCAACATGCTCTGTCCTACAAACAAGCAGAAAAATCCTTATGCTATGCAGCACTATAGAAAATTAAGCATTATTTCAGATTATGTCATACTGTTTTTCCATTTCCTTGGTCACAAACAAAAGACACCAAAAAATCTATGAATGTTGTAACATTAAACTTCTTTCACAAAAATGTAAAGGTTAAAAATCTTTAAAATCTTTTTTTTAACATTAGTGATAAACAACTGAAGTGAGCTCACCTGTTCTCTGATGGCAGAAGTGAAAGCAATGCCAAAGCAGAAAGTTTTCTTCTTTCTGGCTGAGTAATATTATCTATACGGTCAACCCACATTTCAATCATGTTACCAAGAAGTTGGTCCACCTGCAGAAAAGAAACCAATATATTCCATTAAAAACAAATGCACTGTACTTCTGATACACGTAAGTATTTTGATGTACATGACTATGTGCAAAACATATTTCACTTCATTTGAATAGGGTATTCTGGATATACTAGAAAGCCAATTATTTATAGCTGAATACCCACATACTCTACAGCACGCAAAATGCAATACACACCAAAAAGTCCCTTGATAATTATTAAAGTTCCTCTTTCCAATATGTTATACATATGCTTATGTCAAAGAATGTGCAACTACATAAACAAATAACATTACTAATGCACCAAGTTTTTTCATTAGCCACCAGTAATATTTAGTTATTATATAGAGTTTTTCCATCAGTATCATCATCTCTGTTTTACAGAGTAGTTAATTCATTTTAAACAAGTTATCAGCAGAGTTGGGAATAGAGCCAGTCTCAAGTCCCAGGGCACAACTCTATCCATCAGGCTACATTTGCTTTCAAGGCAATTCTTGAAAGCAAGAGGAGTTCAGTGTAGTTCAGTGGAACAGAGATGCAAGTGCACAAGTTTATTACTCTGTAAAGAATTTAATCCTTTAGACAGAAAGTGCAATATGCCCTGTGATATTATTGTGACTGAACTGGCAGCTAGAAATTTGAGAAAAATGCACAACATAGAAATGTGTTAGATATAAATGTTACAGCAACAGATTATTTGAAACTGATTTAACTTGTCCATTCTCCATAGTGTATAAATTGTTTTTAAACCTTGAATTTAAAACAAATTTAGTTATGAATAAGAACACATTTTGACATGTTTAAAAATAGCTAAGTTTTCAATATAAATTTGGTATATTATACATTTATTTGGTAAGAATAAAGATGTGAAAAATACCTACAGAATTCAGGACTGGTTCTCTAAAATAAGATGATAACTATAAATAACAGGAAAAACTGCTTTCCATCTAGTAAGTGTATTGAACTGTCTCATCTCTCAGTTCTAATCCTCAAAGGGAATTTACAAAACACCTTTCGTAGATGAGCCTACAAACTTCACTTCATAAATCTACTGGATATAAAAAATCATGGACTACATATAGACATTGGATTTATGGCACATTATAACCTGCCTGCCATCTGATAACCCCAAGTAACCTGTCTGCATTTTACCAGCTACATTCTATCACCACTTCAAATTCCCCTTTCCCTCACCAACGCCGGTCTCACACCTATTGTCTCATAGGGCCTTTGATCCTCACTGCTAGGCATCTGCATTTTCACAGACCTTCATTTTGCATACTGGCTTCCATTCCACCCAAGAGAGCACACAAAGCAATAACAAACTCTGTGTCTGAAGACAAAGAACAATTTTTCCAACTATTTAGTTGGTCTAATAAAAGATATTACATTTAACCAAAGAACCGTGTCTGCTATTGGACTGTACCAAGAGTTTTGGAAATAATCCTAACCAATATATTTTATAAAATATCATCTTTCTGTTTGCAAAGTATCTACTAATATTTAACTGAAAATATCTGTTATCTTAACCTCTTTTGGGATTAACTCATGGTAATAAAGTTAAGCATGTGCATAAGCGTTTTCAGAATCAGGGCCTGACTACATCTTTGCCACAAGTGTCTTTCTAGCAGCTAGCTCAGTAATTGGATACGTGGGGGCAAATTTACAAATTAATGTTAATCTGAAATCTGAAATGAGTAAAATGTCTAGGAAAATCAAAAAATACGAACTGAATAGAGAATCATCAGACATGTTACATAGCTATGGATTCCCCACCCATTTATCATATATAAAACAACTGAAACCATTTTTTCAAAAAGGTAATGCTGTATGCTTATCATGGGGTTCCTATTCTGTATCAGACAGAATAAAACCATAATGTATTCAAGGGTATTTCCAGCTGAATGAAACTGATTTCCCTGGATAGCAAGCCTGAAAAGTGAGAAACAAGCCAACAAATCATCTATTATTCAGTAGCCATGTATGCTAGAATCAACACTTGCTCTGAAGAATAATGATTCTTTGTTACTTAAATCACCAAAATTCAGTTGAAAGACAAAAAGAATAAAATAAATCAGAAGAGCCTTTTTATAGTACAGAAAGGTACAAGATATAAGCAGCATGTTGCTGACCTTATTTCCTAATTCGTGAGAACTTAGAATTATTTTCTGTAAACAAACTAAATTCTAAATTACATTTTTAACTTCAGATAATCCACAGTCTGCAAGGATAGTGTGAACTATTAGAGCATCTGAGTTGATTTACCGTATAACAATTACATGGATAACAGAATAAAAACTCAATGCGAATGAACTATCCAGGTGTTTATGACATTTCTTCAGTCCTAGTATCCACTTTTGTGGGTCCTTTCTGAATCTCCTTCAGTTTTTTAACATCCTTTTTAAAATGTGCAGAGTGGAACCTACATGTAGGAAGTATTGTATTATTATTCTCTATGATTCCTCATACAGGAATAAACTTGTCTCTTTACCTAACTCACAATTCCTTTGCTTATATGTGCATGCAAGAATCAAGATGTCATTAGAATCGGATTTTGCTCTAATTACAAAATAACTCTTTTCAAATAATTAACATTTTTGGATGCTAATACATTAAAATCCTGAAGTAGGAGGAAACATCAAGAGTGATAACATTACAATGTCATAAACAGATGCAGGATTTACTGCTCCTAACATATCCCAGGTGGATGCCCATCCAATCTCCACAAAATCTCTAATAAATAAGATTCCACAACTTTTCTAGAGCAGCTTATTTTATTGTCATATGATACTTAAGTTAGAAGATCTGTCTTAAAAGCAGATTTAGATTATATTTTAGGAGCATGTTTCTTCACCCTCAGGTGCTCACAGATGTGGGGAAAATAGGCAAAATAGCACTTTACTTTCAGCTCGGCATGTCCCTACATGAAATGCAGCTCATGTCTAGAAAAGGAATCATGTCAGTTTGACCCAGCTCCCCAATGTCTGTATAGTTCACATGCTTTAATGGGGCTTTTTGCCACTTTCATCTGATAGCTGACTCAATCAGCTGTTAGATAAAATCACCAAAAAGCCCTGCTGAAGCGCATGAGCTATACAGATCCTGGGTGAGCCAGGTCAAACTGATGTGATTCCACTTCTGGTAAAGCACCATTCTGTTTTTTTCCCATGTCTGTCAGCACCCCTTCTTTCCTCATATGGCTTGCATTTCAACCACTTTATCATCTTCACTGTCTTGTGGATTCTCTCCATTTTTCTAAATCTTTTTTTAAATGCAATGACCAGAACTGGGGAGAGTGCTCCACTAGGTAAATGTATTAAATTTTTACGTTTTGCAGTCACTTCATTGTATTAACAACAACAGCAACAACAAATCAGGAATAAGTTCTTAAAAGTGAGCAAAGAAGGGGCATTTTAAATTGTAAAATAAATAATTATGCTAAATTAAATTTCTGAACAACATCTGTAGAGGGGTAGAAAGTCAATCCATAGTTTTAATTCCATAGAATTGTGTGTTTACCAGCGGCAACACCTAGGGGGTACACATACACCCCCTGACAGCCAAGCTGGGAAGTGGGGGTGCCAGGAGAAGTGCTGCTGGCACTTGCGGGTCAGCATGATCAGGTGATCCACCCCCCCTCCCCCAGTTCGTGATTGGTTGCTGCTGGTGTGTGTGTGTGTGGGGGGGGGGGGGGGGCAAGTCCCCCCCCCAACTCAGGAGGCACCAATCGCCCATGGTGTTTACCTTTCAAATTAATGACTTGTATCTATTAAGCCAGGTCTCTTCAGGTGTTGGGCTATGTGATTGAACAGAGAAAGTGTGTGCATTTATCATCAAGAATAAGATGAATTGTTGATAGTATAAGGGAAGAGTCTGACTAGCACTGAGAGTGAAGTAAAAATATTTAAACTTTAAACTCCATTGATTTGAACAGGATTGTTGGTTGTAGACATGTTGGTCTAAGGACAGCCTCCCAATGCCTGAAGAAGGGTGTTAGTGCCTGAAAGCTTGCAAAGAACTTTTTTCCCCAACTATTTAGTTGGAATAATTAAATGATATCACATCTACCCAAAGAACCTTGCCTGCCTACTGATTTGAACAGATACAGGATTAGATCCTTAGAGAAGTTGGAAAGAGCCGACAGCCCCTTAAAAGAATCATGGCCAAGAAGACTGGAGGTAAATGGAAAACCTGTAGAATTATTATTTAGCATCTGTGGGCTGAGACACAAGAAGAAAATATAAAGCCCACATCGATCACAGTTTTTAGGATAAAAGCACAGATTAGAAATAGCTAAGGATAGCCAAGTAGAATTCAGAGAATATTATTATCCATATTTAAAATGATTACAATAATTTCCAACAGATCTCAAAAGGGTTTGGCATCCCATAAGATGAGGTGTTGCATAAGTATTTAAAGTGATGTGGACTTTGCCTATAGAAACTTAAAACCCATGAGTAACATATAAAGTCTGGAGGAGAGGAACATGGTCAAATACACAAAATCATTACAAACACAGAAAGATTACCAATTTTCCCCCATCAAGTAACACTCATGCCCATAAATCAATACAATATTAAGTAGCTCTCGTACTCCATGTTTAAGAGATAGCATGGGAGATGACTTCTTTTAAGCAGACAGTGAAATTGCAGATATGGCTTCCATATTTGGAGGCAGAGAACTATATGCTAGGGTACAGAGTGAGATTGAGTGAAAATAAACAGCCTGTTAGCAATTTAAAGATACTTTTGACTTAAAGGACTTGCCATTTTATGCCTGAACATACATTATAATTCCCTAAAGAAAATAAGATTCTTAATTCAGCTTCTATTAGAACAATTAAAAAAAAAAAATCACACATGGGGAGGTGCTAGTTGAAATCCCATAATTAGGTTGGCCATCTGCAATTTAAAAGACTTATTTTCTCACACTAGTCAGTGATGTGAAACATAATTCTAAAAACAAATTATGTAAATTGAGGATAAATCTGCAGTAGTATAA